GTGACAGCCATCAAAATCTAGAAATGCAAGGGAGAGCTTCACGTCTTAACACTGATAGCTGTATAATGTCTGTGCTAACGATAACGGCGTTTGGATTTGGGGGAGGCTGGGAGAGTGTGGCTGAAGTCAGAATTCATCAGCAGGCAAAAACATACGCGTCTTTGTCAATCGGTGGGGCTAAACCAAAATTGTGGTCATTTGACAGCTGTAAGCGATGCACCTCTAAATAGTGGCAGCTGTGATCACTGAGGGATCCTGACTCCTGCAAGCTTGACAGAGAGTAATTAAGGGACAAGCCCAGCAGTCAATAAATGCCCCACGGGATTACAGGTTCACAGCAGACCCACGAGACGCAATCCGCGGACAAAGCCCCAAAAGGGAGTAAGCCAGCCCTCATTTGTTCTGCAGTAGCTTATCAATCATGCTATCGGGCTGGGCCCTGCGCACACAGCTTAAACAGCCCCTTACGCGTTTCCAATATTCCTTGTTTTCCACGGAGCCCATCTTCCCACTTCCTCAAGGGAGTTAAGGGATGTTAAATAATCCTCACTAAGCCCGCAGGCTGGTAGTGGGTAGCTGTATGGGAAAGATCACCCGACACTGAAACAAGGCCATTTCTGGAACAAAACACGTTAAAGCCATTCAACAGCATCCGTCAATATTGTATTTCTCTTTTATAAACAATGAGGATGCACACCCGCTGCTGCCAAGACCGAGATCTAATGAGGACATTGCCTTTCCTAATGGCTAATCTCTCATCAGGCTCCTCTGCCTCCACAGGCTGCCTCGCAGGAAAATAATATTTGTTGGGATACGGTGAGAAGGTCACAGTAATCATATCTGCTACTACACCGATATGTAAGATCGCCCTGTGCTTGTCCCTTCTCCCTCCAGACAAAGTAGCTTGCTCAGTCATGGAGTGAATTTACAAGCAATATCTGAAGGTAAGGAAAACGCTTCCAGTGTCACAGCTTGGTTTGCAGGAGGCAAGGTGCTTTAGAAAAGGATTCGGCTTGGCTTTAAACACGGCTGCATACAGAAGATACACAGAGCAGCAGGGCTGTGAATGTAGCAGAGTGGACTGTAGGTGCACGGACGCGTGGAGCTGGGACCCGTCCGAGCGGTGTACGAGCAGCCTCGCCGGTGACCGAAACATGTCTGGAGGTTTGGAGAAGGGCACAAAAGGTCACAGCTCTGAATGAGGACATCACTCGGCTGAATCCTTAAATACCAGTGGGATTTAAATGCATCCCTAAGTGTTTTCCTTAGCTACGATTTTAGCTAGCTGACAGAGAAAATGTTCTGTTGGATCAAGGTGGGAGACGGGGGTCTTAAGCTCGCCGCAGGTCTGTAGGTGCTCATGGCCAGCTCCAGGGGGGCATGGGGAGACCCCGGGAACTGGTCCCCACGGGGCAGCAGGTCAACCCTGGCCCGAGGCGGGAGCAAGCACTGGGAGCAAGGGTCCTTGGAACTACTTCACAGTCTCCCCTTAATCCTTTCCGTAGTTTCTTAAAAGGAGGCCAATTAGTGCAAGAGTCGCAGGCCACCAAAGTGGTGCTGTACTGCTGATTTTATACCTTTATATGTGTGTATATATATATATACACAGAGATAGTGGCTGACAAAGAAAATCTTGCCGGGGGGGACAGGTCAGACCGATAGGGTAACCTGTCTCTGGATCACCACGAACAGCAAGGGAGAACGCAGAGCGATGGGTTACGCTACTGGGCTGTGGGTGCTTCCAGCTTGTAGGGAACTCGCGTTTCAGGGGGTAGTTCGCACCTCAAATCCACCCAGTCTTTGGGAAAATTTGTATGGGGGGGATTTTATAACCAGAGCTGGGAGGGAAGGCAAAGGCACACATCATGATGTGCGGCTCCATGAAATCACAGCAGGTTAGTCAGCAGCTTTGCAGCACGTGTAGCTTGTTAAGCTGCCATCCGAGTTTAACACAGAAACTCCCTGATATGCTGTGACTCTTTCAAGCTACTAAAAAGGAAATAAGGAATTCAAAGAAGAACCAAATATGCTTTATTTATTTTTTTCTCACTGTCACATATTTCTTCCCAGACAGCAAGGAGGGCTTAATTTTTTTCCCAGCACCTTTTTAGAAGTGGTAGACCGCTAATACTGATGGGAAAGTTGAAATGTAAAAAGTAACCAAACAAAGTACTCTTAGTTTCAGGAAAACGTTAATAGTTTTTTTAAAAATTGAACTTGGAATTCTTTAACCTCAAGGTCTAAGCCACAGAAGAGTGTTCCCTAAAAAAAAAAAGACTTGATTGTAAATCTTTTATCACTTTGAACTTGCTCATTTAAAAACATCTTAGCTGAGGGCTGTGGCTGGCAGAGCAATAGAGTTACACAGGCTGAAAAATAATAACCTGCCTCTCAATTGTGGCGTTAGAACGGTGCTGGTGGTCTGAACGGCCTGTTTGTAACCCAATGATGACATAAATAAATGAAACTACCTTTGGGAGTACGAAAGCACCTTATTATAAGATCCTCTATGAGCTCTCACAGCCAGGGGCTGATTTTCTTAATTACTGCTTATCAGCCCAACGCGTCGCTGCAGATTATAGCAGACTCAGCTTCCCAAAAGCAAGCACTGATGTCAGAGCTTCCCACCGCAGTCCCTTTGAAAGAGACCCGGCTCCTTCCCTTCCCAGAGGCTGGCTGCTCCCAGCCTCCTGAGAGAAACTCCGGGAGGACAGACACAGTCCAGAAGAAATGCTGGAAAACAGCAATCATAATGCCTGTCTTCAAGGGAAGGCAAAGAAGAATCCAGGGAGTTTGGGGCTGGCCAGCTTAGCTTCGGTTGCCTGGCAAACACTTGCATGAAATAACTATTTGGTAAGTAATTGGTAGGAAATGAGCAAGAGTTAACACGAATCTGTCAAAACCAGGTCTTGTTAATCTGATGGATTTCCTTCTTTAACAGCTTAACGGGCCCTGTGGGTGAGGGAAGGGGTCCTTCATAAGCCTCTGATCCTGTCCTCACGACATTCTCATAAACAAGTAGGGCAACAGGCCTGATGACATATACTGTATGGTAGCCAAAAGGGCTATTAACTGTCCTATTAACTCAGAGTTTCGCTGTCAAAACTGGGGGGATCTATAGGGGTCTGTCCACCACCTGGGTCTCCTTTACGGATGGTTTTTAGTGAGTATGTTTGCTAAATTTGCAGGTACCACCAAGCTGGTTCAGGCAACCAGCATGGCTGGGGACAAACCGATCTTCATAAACGGGAGAAACAATTCGGTACAAAAAAAAACCCCAACATGACAAAAATCTGCAATTCCACATGGTGATGGCCCTAAACTCAGGCTGAAATTATCATTGCCTGTATCACGGAGGGGTCACCCACCTTACCCAATTCAGGCAAGGAGATCTCCGCACAAGGTGTGTGAGCAGCAGTATGGCCTTCGAGAGACAAGAAGACATTTTTCTGCCCAACTCAACATGGGTGGAAAAGCAGATCTAGTTTGGGCATTGTGTTTTGAGAAGGATATGGGGTAATTACCGAGAGCCTTGGGGAAAGCAGTGGTAATGGCGAGAGATTTAGAAAACTTGACTCCCACGGAACGGCTAAATGAATGGAGGTGTCTTCTGGTCTATAATAATATCGAAATATCTCATTTCTGAAGCAGGGCTTTTGTAAGCAATACCGTTCATTGCAGATCGACCTTGCCATGCAGCATAGCGTACAAGCTCACAGGGGGCTGCAGGGAGAGAGGGGTGAAGGTGGCGGAGAGACTTCTCCACTCAATGGCTTTCACATTACTTTCTCCTTTCGCAGAGGAGATGGCCATGGATAATCAGTGGTACACACCAGGTTCCCTTGGGGAACAGAAGAAGGACAATAAAACTGAACACTTCATTGAAGCACCTGGGTAATGAACATTGCCAGAAGCTGAAGCAGGTAATGTCGACACAACTTGGGCTCACCCGGCTCCATGCACAGAAAAGCAATATGGGTGGCTCCAGTCCTCGGGTTCCCTTTATCCAGCCTTGCCTTAGGATTAGAGGCGGTCATGGTGGTGGGATAGCCCTGGACAGACCAGGTGTCTGTCTGTCTCTCTCTAACCCGGCACGTAGGAAGGCAGGGGTACAACTCCCAGCCCTGGAGTGCAAGGGGCACCCATCTCCTACACCCACCCTCGTCCCTTGGAGCGTGGATGTGCCTGCGTTTCACCCGTTTCCTTTTGCAGGCATCCTCAGAGCTAACCAGCTGGCACCAACAAAAGCCCCAGGAACAACAGACCTTAATCACAGAGATGACATAGCAATAAATACAAATGTGCTTCACCCCACTGCAATATAAAGGTATGGTTTGGGGGGGGGGGAATTTGCTGCTATAACGCATCACTGCTCTTCAGACGGAGGTTTCTTCACGAAAAAGACTTAATTTCTCCTTCACTGTTCAACCATTTTGTTGGTGCCCCCAGCAGTTGCAAGAAAAGGTTTCAATTCCTGAGCACTGGCTGTATTCCTGTCAGATGTTGTTATCTTTGTGGTCAAGATTTGTTATAAATTGGATATTCTTGGCTAATTTCTAAGGGATATTCATTTTGAAGTCAAGAATTGTTTTATTGGTATCAGGAGCTGGAGGATACGGCAGTGTGACGATGTCAGTGTTGCCTTCCCCTGTTCACTGATCATTGCTTTTGTGATTTTGGTTTTTCTTTTTGAACATCTAGGACCTGGAGCCATGGCATTACCTAATAATCCTATTTTAAAAGAAATGAAAAAGCGAAAAGATAAGGAAAAACAAGTTTCTCGCAGAAAAGGGCACGAAGAGTGTTCCTTATAATATCAGAGAAAATGAAAATAACTCACTGTTGGATACCCTTGTATTTAATACAATTTTGTAGTCACTGTTTATGAGTTAACTGTATGAATTTTTACTTTGATTTTCTGGGTCCTGGTCTCTAAACAACTGCTCGGTAGAGCTGCAATCTTTTCTTCCAAAGGAAAAAAAAAAAGTTCCACTCCCAGATTATTGGAAAAAAGAACCCTGTCTTTTGTTTATTTATTTATTTAGAAAGCACAAACAGCGATGCATGGGGAGGGGAAGAGAGAGATGCAAAACAGATGAGCATACAAATCCATCTCAAAAGAAATAGTGAGACACTTCCCAGACGATTAGTAGTACATCAGTCTATGTGAGCATTTAAACTGCTGTACCTCTAGATTAAAAAAAGAAACCACAGAGAATTTCTGAAGAACAAGGTAAATGTCTATATTTCAGAAATCCCACCACAATCAGCTTGTAGGTAGCAATGGTTTTGTTTTTTGTTCCTGATATTTCCTCAGAGGGGGTCTCTCCTGCTCACGCTATGGTTTCTTTCCTCAGTGTCCGCCTCTGGTGACAAGTAAGGATACTCGTGAACGAAGATTTCCCCTTAGTTCTCGACCTTTTCTTTAACTTCTTCTGATGCTTGAGTGAAATTCCAAGCTCCTCCATGATCGCATTGAAAGAAAGACACTGGTGGAAGAGGAAACGGCATTAAACACCTCTCGTGGGAGGCAGGGTCCGACCATACCCTCTGCGCGAACGGCGGCTGCTGGAAGCAAGGACCCGAGCTCTTCCTGGCGGGCTCAGAAAGCTCCGCCGAGTTCTCCCAGCTTTGAATACAAGGTACAACAGGTGAGGCCGTTGAAGTCACGGCTTTTGCCTGACTTGGCTTCCGCTGAATTTAATTTAACTTTGGCTTAACTAAAGCTGATTATGAATGTTTCTGAAATTCTACACAGACGCGGTTGCGATGTTTTGGTGGCTTCCTATCATAAAACTTACCCTTTTTCAGTAGGTGAATTTCCTCCTGACCTTAAAAGAAAAAAGATCTTCTTTTTTAAAATCACATCTACCTTAGCCACAAACAAATGGGCATACAGGAGAAAACACAGAACACCATTTCTGAAGATTTATTTGTGGTTTCATTATTTTCCCCTCACAAAATTAACGCACGTTTCTAAAATATGGCACAGTTCTCAAGCCTCTTCTTTCTTTGGAAAGAATCTTTTTCAAATATTGTGTGTTGAAGAAAGGAGAAAATTACCACAAGAATAAGGTAGATGAATAGTTTAGAAAGAAGGTAGAAATCTTTTTTCTTCCCACTATCACAACATTAACAAAGACATTGCGGGTAAGTGGAAACATCCTTTAAAATCTACAGCTGGAATAACTACATGTAACACAAAAAAACCACAAAGAGGTTTTAAGTGGAAGTATCCAGCAATGCAAAAAAACCCGAATCATTCTATGCAAATATATATAAATAGATTATTTATATATAAAATGAAGTGATGGTGGCAGTGTGAAACAAAGCTTTTACCACCTTACCTTCATCAGGTTGAATAAATCCTTCTACCAAACCCTTTCTAGAACTGCAGAACCGACCAGCTTTAAAACAACTGGTTACAACTGCAGTCCTTGGACAATGACAGCCACAGCACACAGACATGGTTCTCTGTATCAAACACAAATTCCCTTCCAGAGTGACGCCAACGCAAGGTCAGCAGTGTTCAGTTCTTAACCAGTAATCATAGTGACCTCAATAGTGACCTCAGTTATACAGGGCTAAAAAAGTAAAACCAGATACGTTATTCGAAAAGGAGAAAACCCAACCTTTCCTATTAGCCAGCTATTCTAGAGGAATATTTTCAAAGGCAAAAGAGAGTATGAGGGTAACCTGGATCAAGGTTAAATCATTTCTTTAAGGTAGCAAAGGAATCCCGAAGAAGAGACTGCCACGCACCGTGCTTCTTCCTCCCCATATAACCCCTCCCCACAGCGTGCGTAGCCCTGGGTCCGCAAAGGAGCCCGAGACATCAGCGCATCAGCACGCGTGTCTATTTTAAACGTGTGTGATCTTGCGTGTGTCATCACGTCCACTGTGGGATGGGCTGCACACAGACTAAGATCCCATAGTATGTTAAATCTATAGGTTAATATGCTCCTTCTTTGAGATGCTTCATTTTTGTGCATCTAAAATTCTTACGTATACCTAAATTAAGGTACTATTAATTCATGCCATCCCCAAAATGTAATCAGACATAGGCCAGGGCAGTGTACTGCCTTTTTTTTTTTTTTTTTTTTTCTTCAAATTACTGTCTGGTAATAGCCAGCAATTTGCTGGTGCAATTATCATTTAAAAATCCCCTTTGACAGCGTAATATAGGAATTCCAGCATTACTGGAGTGAGAGTCCAAAGTGTCTGCGGCAGCCCCATGCCCTCTGGAAGCAGCGGGTGAAGCAGGTATCATCCTAACGCAGACACTATTTCGATATTACTTCAGGCTTTTTTAGAGAGTAACACCACTTATTTCCAAACTAATAAAACTCTGTGCTGCAAGTGACTGACTTAGCACGGATAATTTCTCTCTACTGTCTTAGTTTTAATTGAGCTTTCAAAATCTAGATTACAAAGTGATTCCAGAACTCCGTGGAGAATAAGGAAAGGATCATATTAACCATTTGCAGAATTGATCAGGTTTATTTTAATTTTCTTTCCCTGTTGTTCTTACTAACCCATACGTTATGTGTGTATTTAATAATAGCCATCAGTCTCTGCAATGTGCATACAGGGATGATTTCTGCAGATGAAATAGTACATTTTACTGCCTTGTTAATAGGCTTGTATTTTAATTTTCCAAACTGATTCATGTTCTTCAGACTATGCAATTATCGTAACGCCTTTCAAATTCATATCAACAAAATAGTCCCATGAGGATCATTTTACATCTGCAGATAGATATTTAAAACATACTGTTGACATTATGTGTGTGAAGTTTTTACCATCTGACTACCTGATTTGTGAAGTGCCACTGGTTCCACTTCCAACTCAGTTTTGAATTCTAAAATAAATATTATCAGAAAGAGTTGAAGCTATTCTTAGGAACGGCTTTGAGGTTTAGGTCTTGTCTAAGAATTAAACTTTTGCTGAATCGTTCATCAGTAGCAGCGACATCTAAAACTGAATATAAAAACCTTACTGTTCTTTGTAGATGAGCTTTTCTGTAAACTGATCGTGCTTATCCGCCCAACCGAGTATGGAAGCGGGCCATCCCAAACCTGAAAGGGCTCTGCCTTAGCCAGACTCTCTCCTACCCCATCCTGGCAGCGGACAGGAGGAGGGTTTACACTGATGCCTTCCCCGGTCTTACACCGTGCAGCTCTAGTGCCTGGCTTTGTAAAAGCACCAAAGAGCTTTACTTCTACAGTTATGTTACACTTAGTTTCGAGGGACTTAAAACACCATTGGCATGAGTTTTGTCAACCTGAAGCAATGAATTAAATGTAGATTTAAGACCCTGGACTGATCCTTCAAAGATATTCCAATGGTTATGGACATAACTACGACTCGGATCAATTTTGTGCATATTCCTGTGTCTGAGATCCTACAACCTTTGAGAAAACCAGTTGGAGGTGGCAAAGAGCATTAAAAACCTGGGAGACACGGGGCTTTCTCTGCCCCTCTGCCTTCACACAGAGCTTCAGATGGTCTAAAAGAGCAATATCTGAGATGATACTTTGAACTTTCAGAGGTTTGGTTAATCCTTTAGAAGTACAGTTACACGTGAACTTGCTTTTGAGCCCCAGGAAGCATAGCTTAAAATCCCATTTATCTCCAAGCTTGTGCGTGCAATTAGGAAACTGAACAGGTGTCAGAAAACTGGAACTGCCCTGAACTTCTCAAGCAGTAGGAAACGGTGGTGCAGAACGAGTACAAACTCAGCCAGAATGCTGCAGGATTTACAGGAAAATCCCGGACAAGGACCACATTCAGGGGGGACTCCCAAGACGACCCTCTGAACAGCACCATGTCTGCACCATAATTACAGTAGCCCTTAACAGGGGCATGGTGACATCAAAATTCTGTTTAAAAGGGTAACATACTGTTCTTCTAGTCTCATATTTGGATGCCCAGACTGAAAAGGTTTCTTTAAAAAGCTATTTTTTTGCATGCTGTTAAGTCCACTTTTAAGGTCTCGCCCAGACTGAGAGCAGAGTAGGCACAGAGCAATGCATTTAACAACAGAGTAATAAGTTTAACATTTTGCTTTTAGTCAGCTTAACTTTCTCATTCTAGCAGTGTCAAAATACTGCAGGACATGGCATGTGAGGCTAAAAGGAAATGTCATCCTTTAAAACAGATTTTGCTCTCCTTGTGATGTGAGACTCTTTCTCTTTGCCCTTTGGTCATTTCAGCAGGCTATAAAAGCTTGGTCATCAAGGTCCCAAATCCTTCCTTACACTCTCATACAGAAGACTCTGTTAAGCTTTAGAATCATAGAATCATTATGGTTGGAAGAGACCTCAAAGATCATCAAGTCCGACCGTATACCCGATAATTTAGGTATAATTTATAGCTACCACTGGGGACAAGCCTTTTCAATTGCATTTTATTAATACCTTGCAAAAACAAAACAAAACAAACAAAACCCCAAACCCAGTGCGCTGTGTTGGAGAACTGAGAACTATGAACATCAAAGGATATGGGCCAGATTTTGTTCTGGAAGAACACCCGGCCAGCTCAGGCACGGAGGAGGAAGGGCAGAAGTCAGGATTTTCACTGCCCTCGTCACTGCGAAGGACCCACGGCTGGGACACTGACATATGTCTTCTGCCAAAAGAAAAGTGATTTGTTTGTGCCTACCGCACCAAAGGAAAAATATCCAAAATAGTTTCACCTAGTGGGCAAACTGCTGTTGCGGCACATTAAGAATCTGTTGGAGTATTCTGTCGCTGATGGCTAATTGCACGAGGAGATCACTAAATTAAGACTTTTAAACTGTCAGAGCCTATTGAACAGTGGTTGTCAAAACAGTACGACGATAAACCATGGATTATTTTAACTTCCTCAGTTATAGAAACTCTTCCTCAGTCTCCTGTTTACAGGAAAAAAGATCAGTAAAGCTACTTGCTGGTCTCCCAGGCCACTTAAACACAAACGGGACTGCTCCGGGAAGGCGCGGGTGGCCACGGTCACGTTTGGAGCTGGGGTTACGGCCTGAAAACGGTGGGGCTCAAAATGATGTTCGGTGAAGAGGGGGAATTTGCAGACCTGACAACTTCACAAAAACTTCTATTTTGTGAGAACCTCACCAAGATGGGGGATTTCTTCCTTCTCCCCTTCTCCTCCTCCTTTGTTTCCAAACAGCTAAAGACATGAAACTTCAAGGCTTGGATCCGAGAGAGGTGGCACAAGCACACGATACCACGGCTGTACTTTGAGGAAAGACCAATACCAACTGGAAAGCGTTAATGCTGGCCTGGCTCTGGTTCCGCAGTGCAGGGGTCTCGTGAATCCACCCTCCTCCTGGCTCTCTGAAATGGCGCTCGTACTGCCTTTGTTCCTCCCGTTCTTCTCTTGTCTCGTCCTTTCTCCCTCCTTCCCCCTGCACCTTGGGCTAGCTGGGCTGCAGACTGTTTGACGGGGGCAGGAACTGCCACTAAATAAAGGCAGGCACACCGACCCCGGC